TTTTATATATAATCACAGAAAATATTATATATGAATAATATCGATCAGAGGTCTTTATGATTCATATATGCTTCGAATTTTTGGATCAGATTAAATAACTATGTTTCATATACATTTATCCTCCGCCTTTTATCCCACACATACACTTGCGTGCGTGAATCTCTATGAATTAGATAGGTAATCGCATAAATGAAATGCTTACACAGATCCATAATTTAAATACGAATTGTACAAGAGAAACAGATACTATTTGCAAAAGTATATTCAGCAATCTATCGTATATATATGTATAACTATCTATCTACGCTACGTACACAGACAGAAAAATATATGTATTTTCTATGGGAATAAGAGAGTATTACGCGCTTATTTCTCCTTAGAAAAATTATTAAATAGTTTGGTATTCTTCTTGTGAATATATAGTAGTTGGACATCATTATCTACAAGTAGATCTCGCGACGGGTCTCGTTAGAGCCAGATTTCTTCCTTATCCATGTCTTTATATAAATAATGTGAAATGATAGGTATGCTTTATAATAAGAGAAATAATGTAAAATAATAAGAAGTAATTAAAAATAAGAAGCCTTAAAAATATTTCTGAAATATTCGGTATACTAACAACAAAATTAAACAAGACACTTTGAGAAATCACAGTTAAAAGATATATGACAGATTCTCTATACTGAATAGCGAACTCGTGTGTTGCCAGTAGATAAAGAAAATAAAGACTACAAATCGATAATGCATTAAAAAATTGTAAATTGTACGTTCCTCGCTAATTATTATTAGCAATCTAATGTCGTTCAAGTATCTCCGCGCGAAGATAAATAAATTAGAACAAATTGGCAGGAATCCATTTTCGTAAAATTAAGTAATAATTGAATAATTTACGATTTGTTGTACAACGTAGATCGCGTAAATTATTAAATATATTGGTCTCCAAGATTATACTTTACACATTTATTTTTTTTTAAACAAAAGTAAGGATTTTTTTGCTTTTTTTTTAGTTTGGCAAATATAATACTTTCGCATTCGCGTCGGGAGAATTGCAATTTGTGCGACATAGTCACTATCTTGAGGTTTATCCGACAAAAAGTGATCTAGACCGTTGAGTCGTACTATCCCCTTTTTTACTTTACCACAACACCAATCTCGAACAGTTGCAGATAGATTAGTTTTCTTACATAAATTATGTGCACACAATGCATGTACATACCGATGATTCGAGGCCATATAGACGTCAAAAAAGTTTAATTATTTGTTAACTTACATCATTCAGTCAATCATTGTTCCGCTAAACATACATTTTCCTATGCATTATTACGTGGATGTTAAGAAATGAACGTCAAATGTCAGCCAAGTGTCAGAAACAATATTTTGAGTTATAAAGGAGAGAGATTTAAAATCCACAATTTGCGGAAGTATCACTTATTAAATTTGTGTGTTAAATTCTCTGTACAGAAACTCAAATAAAATATATAACACTGTCTTAATATTTTCTTAAAATATGACATGTCAATATTTAATATTTTTTATTTATATTTAATTCGTGTAGTATTTTAATATTAATAAAAAATTTAATATATATATATATAATATACACATGTTTAGAAATCAATTTTTCTGACACTTATTTGACCTTTTCAACTATTCCTGTAAATTAAATCTTGCTAAATTTATCATAATTACAATAAAACGTAATTTACAGAGTTATACGCAGTTATGAAGAGAAATTTGTTCGGAGTATTGTTCACATGGCGATTGTTAGGCGTAATTTATGTCTTATAAAATGTTATAACACAATATTATCATAATTAATAGTAACAATTAAATTCTACAATTTATATTCAATTCATTAATTTAGCATAATAATTGTGATAATAAATATAGAATCTTTCATTCAATCCACAAAAATTAATCTAAGTTTCTGCTAATCGATTCGAAAAAGTTAATCTTAAAAATCTCGAGTATGTTTTATTAATTCACTCATATTTCATATAAAACTGTATGCGCATGTGAACCTGTCTCTACCATTTGTGCATCTCTCTTTCTACACCAGTTTCGTTCGTATGAACAAAAATAAAAACATACGAAGACGAGAAATCATTTGTATGCTTTTTGATGTCGCTTATAAATTTGAGATTTTCCTCAAACATTTATTTTAATTGAATAATTTCTATTCATCTTTGTACTTCCTCGACGAGAAACTATACTATCTGATAACAAATTTTCAAGATCAACTGCGTACAATGTATTCATTTGATACAGCAGTTATCGCAAATATCGTTAGAGTAAAAATCAATTTTCTTATTCATTATTTTTATCTAACGTCGATCGATTTTTTAGAGGCCGATTCTATAACTTTTAACGACAATCGTTGATGTCGTTGCGCAGATATTATGCAGAGTAAAAAAGCTGCGCAATGACATCAATGACTATTGTTAAGAGTTATAGAATCGGCCCCTTAATATTATTTTACATGACGGGTCGAGTTTTGCAGGAGAATTCTTAATGAGGTTAAGAATTCCGAGTACATCGGCGTTCACATCCGGATTTACGAGATGCATCGAAGGGAGATAACGTACTCGACTGACTCGCGACGACTGTCTGGCAGGAGAATTCTTTGATATGAACTCAAATCGTTGGCACACGACTCGCAATTGGAGAATGGCCAAATTGCTCATGAACTGTCCGAATGTGCCCGTTAATCCAATTCGCAAGAGCTTCTCGCTTGTTTTACGAACAGTATTTTCCAAAGTGCACGTGCGAGGATTTAATGCGATACGTAATAAAGATAATATGTATATAAAGAAAACATCACTGAGATTTCAAATATATATTTTATAATAATAAAATATTAAAACTCTGCGCCTCTTCGGGCAGGGTAGACCTAAAGAATATTAATTTTATTTAATGACAGATTTTTCCCCGACAAATCTATAATTTGTCAGAAATTTTGATTTTATTATTAAAATCAAATCATCATATTCAGATCGGTTCAAATATTGGACCAATCTATTGTGAGATGGGAATTTTTCGTGTTAAGATAATCGTGATAGAATCAATGTATCACAACTGACACGAAACTTTTATTACAACATTAAAAATGTGCAACGCTTGAATGCGGTTTCCGGAAACTGCAATTTGTCGACAGATGCGATTCTCGTATGTTACCCTTTATTCCTTATTTTCTGGATGTTTGCCCAGCTTTAAGATGCGGTAATCGTTCACTAATCCATGTTCGCGATTGAACTCAATTTATACAGCGTGTTAAGAGCGTCTGAGATAAAAATAATTTTTTACCGTTAATAATATTTGTTGCCATATGGTGACAGCGTTATTAAACATTCGGGAACATTTTATCGTGAGTTTATCATTCGTTATTTTATAAGACTTATCTATTGTCTCCATTTAGCAACGCTAGATCAATATACTTCACTACTAATTCATTCGTCGCGCTTTTAGATGTAGCGTCTTCTCGGCGCCGTCAACTCGCTGTATCATGTGTTGCACATATCTCCGTAATTACAACCTCCAGATATATCGGGTTAACGTTTATAAACGCGCGAGTGCACGCGAGTGTTTATTTGCCTCGTGGTAGTGTCGGGTGTCCGTTTACCGGTAGCTTAATGTTGCGATACGCGAGAACGAGCGAGCGAGGAAACGGACGTGCGGGCGGGAGGACAAGCGCCGTGCTCTTCACGTGCTCTTTTACGACCCGTCCGTTCCACGTGCGTGCTCGTTATCGCTCGTCTACAAGCTGTTTCTACTTTATTTTGGCCCCCGCGAGATCCATTCTAGATTCTATCGAACATTATACGTTAATAAATCATCGAAGTGCGAACGCGGTTACGACCAAAGTTCTTGGTTATATAGCTTATTCGCCTCAGACAAATACGACCTTACGAAACAGTACATCAGAATCGTTGACAACCAAAAAATAGACCGAAGGAACGCCGATTGTCTCGAAATTTTCGGGAAGTATTTAAAAGTGCACTGGGAGCAATTTGGGATAATAATAAATAAAATTGCAGCATACTCACGATTTCTCACGTTTTATCGTGCGCCAGTGATTCTCTTCGATACTTTCGATAAGATGGCAACATTCTCGATCATTAAGAATAAAATGATACGAAATAAACATCTATCCTAAGAGAAAATGCTCTTCGAAAATTAATATAAATTAAATTTTTGTATTCATTAATTTAAAAAAGATTCATAAGTACGTCGAAGAAATAATTACAAATAATTGCACATCCATTCGTACACCTACATGTACTCGTTCATTACAACTTAAAATAAGACCGAAACTTAAGATTAAAGATTTTGTACGCCATTTCATAGTTAATGAAAAATGAAATTACTGTTACCACTGACTATACATTCTGAAAATCGAATTTCCGCATTCAGAATATTACGTATGCCACGTAATCGCGCTGTGAGTGACACAATCATTATTTACATATCGCCCTAAATTTTCTCTCGCCCGCGACTCGTGAATCTGGACACATCGAAGCTTGATAAAACACGTCGATATACGTTGATAGACGTGCAAAAGTGCACGTCGAACATTCCCGCGTTCGAGCTCGAGGAAAATACATTTGGTAACGAACGTGTCATTCGAATTTGACAGAAACATACAATGCGTCTGGCTTCCGTGTGTCGCGTTTGTTTGCCGCATATGCGTAGCTGTAAGCGCGTGCGTAAAATTGTGCGGATACATGTTTTATCCTGGAGTAGATCTTTGATCTCACCCCAATAAACCTGAGAGGATGCTTCGGACCCGCAGTCGTTGCGACTTCTTATTATGCGAACTATGCAGCCATTTTCAGGGACAGTTGCCGTGGCTTCGGGTGCTACCGAGACAGAGAATGAGATCGGCTTGCTCTTAACGCAGCAGCCACCAATGGCACTCGAACACGCGCCGTCAGTAACGTCAGAATGGCGGCAACGTCGAAATGATGACGACATTAATCGATTCAGACTGTTATTCTTGTTCACCATAGATCAGCTGGCTGGCATTTCCGAGCTCTGCGTCTGCGACAATTCCAGCAAGTGGCACTCCGACAACGGGATCTCCCTTGTGCGATCGCTCTGTTTCCTCTGTAATTGCAATATAATGATATTTTATTATTGTATAATATTTTTCTACACAGTAGTTATAAAATTAATTTAATAACACATAAAGAATATTTCACAAGTTGAAAGTAAAAAATATCTAGATATCTTCTTCGACTATTCTTTAAACATTTTTTAAATGTCATAACGTATTCAAAATCTCTTTCGATTCTCCAAATGTTTTTTGAGTGTTTAGGATTTACTGTTGCTTTTCTTCGAAATTAGATTTTGAATAATTTTACGAAACTCAAAATTTCGAAAAATACTACCTTTCTCCGAAAAGGAAAGCAGCCTCTGTCGTCATTGTTGGGCGGTGTATGGTTTATCAATAAGTCTGGGGTGGGCGTGTTGTTAGGACCTAATACATTCAGTTCCTTAAAACACTCAGTCTCTATCATCTGCAACAGGAAGAAATAAAGCGCGTTAGATTGTGATTTGACAATCTCAACTCCGCGAGGTGCGTAGTAAGTGATTTAACATAGGCAGAAGCTAAAGGTGGCTCGTGCGTAATGCGTCTTATGCAGCATCGCGGCTTTAAATACATTTACTCGAATAACGCCAGTGATAACGAGCCTCTCGCGTTGCCTCTGACGTAGGAAAACACTTTGCATGAGCTCTATATTTTTTAATCCAAGTGCCGTTCTCCAGATGTTCTGCATGCACATGTAATATTTTCAGAGAATGAAACGAAGCAAAATCCTCTGAAGTGCAATTAGATAACGAGATTTTATTATTTCCTTGCTACGTTTTAAATTGAAATTAAATTTTACTTTTTCAGAATTTCATTTCGAGATTTTTAGTAAACATAATTTGTAATCTTACAAAGATATTACATAAATGACATTTTCTTATTTCTTAAGTTTCAACACATTCGCCGTAAAAAATCAGAACAAAATATAGGCCCGTATTCAGAACGCGCTTTTATCGATAAAAGCGCACTTTTATCTCTGAAATTCTATAATATGCGTGACGTAAAGTATAGTATGTTAGCGTGCTAACATCGTTGTAAGCGCGTTCTGAATACGGGCCATAGACTCTAGTCTAGAGATGAGACAATGTCATTTATGTAATATCTTTGTAAAATTAAAAATTATGTTTGTGTGTGTGCTAAAACGTTGGTAGCTAAATATTGTTTCATTTTTTATTTTAGTGCACAACCCGTTTGGCAGGAATTTACGATCGAAATCGGAAAATAATAATTTCAATCTCAATGAATGGAGATCATTATCTTTCAAAGTTTTTCTGACAAAAGTCAAAGTCTAAATAAAGAAGAAAATTAAATTTATTAAAAATATTATCAAAATTATTTTGAATTATCTTATTTAGATTTATATAATCTTGGGTTATATAGATGTGGATCTTTTAAAGTACTATCAATATCAATATAAGCGCTTGAGACGCGTAGGTGGTCGAAGAATACGATTTACATTTATGTTATAATGGAGATCTTATTAACTGGTCGTCTACTGTGTGCCACGTAGCAACAATATTATTTTTATAGGAAAGGTCAAAGATCTTATTCCTGAGGCGCAATATGTCTCACAATCGGTGATTATGATACAGATGTGACGTATATGGTTATTTTACCTCATTTTGCCATGGAATGGACACGCTGCCGGTGTTGAACTTGCTGTAGAAGGTATCATCCGTGGCGTCCAAATTAACACCTTTCACCGTGGAGAACTGCTCGATGTCCAAAACATCTTTAGCATAAACCGCACGAGGCTGTAATAATAAACGTATCAATGATTAATAATTTTCGTATTCTTACTACCTTCAACGTTTTCACATATACATTAAATCTTCTATACAAAAAGAACAATTTTTTACTAACACAAAAATATAATAAAATAAAAAGAATATTATAACGTTAAAATTTTTAGCAATTTATGCAATTTCTTAAAACACCATCTCATTTTATGACAATATATGCTAATTAAAAATTGTAAATATTATACTGATTTAGTATAATTATCGAAATTAGTGTTAAAGTTGTATCATATATACAGCTATAATTTATATGCAAACTTAATCTAAACTCTCGCATTCACGGAATTTAAATAGACGAATAAATAGATTAAACGAGGATAAAAATAAAAACATGAAACCTCGATGTGGATTTAGACGATCGATCATCAAACAACACCTACTTACATCTGGCACAAACGGCGGTTCCCACATACCAGCCTCGACCCTCTTCCAATTCAGGCACTGGAAGAAACTGTGGAGTTTCACCTCTTTCGCCCCGTGTCGACCGCACTTGCAACCTAGTCTGTTCTTCGGACTCTTCTTTAATAGCTGTTGGCACAGACTTTTGGCATCCTCGCTGAACTTGGACGAATACCTCTCTTGATCCTCCTTGACGCGTCTATCGATTTCCTCGCGTTTGGTCTTCTCCTTGCGAGCGCGGAACGGCGCTTGGCCCTCGATCATCTCGTACAGTAGGCAGCCAAAGCTGAACCAATCTGGCGAAAAGGTGTACTTCTCATTGTCGATCACTTCAGGCGCCATGTAACCCACCGTGCCGACCCTACCGCGCACCATGTCGCCCTCCGTAATTTCCACCGCGAGACCGAGATCGGATATTCTCACATGACCATGATCGTCTAACAGTATGTTCTCCGGCTTGCAGTCCCTATAGACAATACCTTGAAGATGAAGATGCTCCAGACCGCACACGACCTCGGCCGCATAGAATCGGGCGCGATTTATGTCAAAACCTGGCTCACCGCCCATATTGTAAATATGGAACTTGAGATCACCGCCATTCATGATAGTCAGCACGAGGCAGAGAGCGTCCTTCGTCTCGTACGCATACGCGAGCGAGACGACAAACTTGGAATTGATCTTCTGCAGGATGTTCTTCTCGATTAGTACCATCGACTCGCCTTTCCTCTTCTTGATGCGCTTCTTCTCCAATTTCTTGCACGCGTACATTTTACCGGTGGCGCGTACCTGGCAAGCGCAGACCTCCCCGAAGCCACCCTTGCCCAATACCCGATACATCCGGAAGGTCTTGTATGTCACTGGTTGCGCCTCCAGCCATTTCCACTGGAGATACCTGAAGAAACATAGGAAAAACGTCTCACTATTTCTCAATTCTTTCTCGTAGTCAGAATCAGATTCTCATCGAAAAAAATTCTTTTCTACGAATTTATATTATCTATCTGCCACACTATTTATTCATTGGCATTTCACCTGTAGAAGTAGAAACTGCTGAGGAAGGCCGAGAACGGCTCGCCAGCCAGGAAGTTTTTCACGGTCTGTGCGACCTCGGTGAAGAGCTCCTTGCCGCCGGTGCTGAGTCGTTCCTCGCACTGAGAGATCAAGGAATCGTTCAGGATGTCGACCACCTCCGAACCCTCCCGCTTCAAGTACTGCTCGAACAGCTCTTTCGCCAGATCGATGCGATTTTCGTCAAGCTCAATCTCGTACTTCTCGATCGCGTCCAGAAAGAGGTTGTAGCGGTGATAGGCTGGCTTTTTGTCCTGGCAGAATTGTCGGAAGAGCAGCCGCCCAATCGGCTGCTGGTCCACCACATAACTGTACCTGATGTCTGTCCGACATCATAAATTATGTTGAATATTTTTCTGAGATAAACTGTATGTCATGCGCGCGAATATAAATTTTTTTAATAAATTTAATTTATACCCGTAAAATCTAATTGATCCTGTAAAAATTGTCATAGAATGCTTGTTGCTTGAAAAGATTTCTGTCTACTTTTTCTTACTGTTGGAAAAATAAACGGAAATATCCTTGGATAGAAATTTATTCAATTAAAGACAATTTTTAATAATTTATATGCTTTTGAAAATTAATTATGTACGTTTTAATTCTCACAATATCAATTAAAAGTTACATTAACTTTACATCACAAAATAAAATAAATTTAAATTATATAAGAACTTTATTTAAATAATTAGTGATTTTATAATTCCCTTTCAAATTTATAATCATGTAAATAAATTTAGTAGTAGAACAATAAATTCACCAAAATCTTCTTAATATTATTACAGTTTAAGAGTAACGACTTCTAAGCAGAAAAAATAATTTCTTGCGTATTTTATATAGCTCATATTCGCGAAAATAAGTCTCATTTATTCGCAAGTTTTCATTATTTCAAATCGGAGAAGAGTGTTATCAGAGTAGGTTAACGGGACACGCAACAAACATTGTTTCTCCGCCCTTTGCAGCGTTTTTTCAACTGCATAATGTGCATTACATGGTGCAGGCCCGAGATTCAATAATCGCACAGATCTATTAAGTAGTTTTTTACTGCGGCTATTTTATACACAACATCTACATTGCCAAGAAAATTACGACCGCAAAATATCATTTAGGTAAAATAGTTTTTTATTATAGTTTCTTTTTTATTTCAAAGTTTTTGTGACCTCAATTATTACTGACTCACCCAGTTTATCTTTTAGGCCGATGCACTGGGAAATGTGTGGGAACTGAAGTATCTTCCGCCATTTCTTACTCTTTCCTTTATTGCTGTCACCACCACCTATCCAAAAAATATGAAAATTTTCATACATACAAAAACCGTCAAAATATGTCAAGTGAAATATGTAAACAATAAAAAAAATTCATTGTAATTTTAAGATTTTTAACAACTTGTCGCTTTTATTTTCTAGCCATTTTTTATTGTATTTTATTATTCATATAATACCTATTTATTTTTGTATTTTTGTAAATTATTTTAAATTTTTATCATAGAAAAATTTATCGTCGCGGCAGAATTCTCCAATTTTCATCCATGACGCTGTACGTTAATTAAAAACGAATACGAGAAGCGCATGGTTTTCCTGTTTGATAACTATTAATTAGAACTCGAATGAAATTTGTGCAGTAATTCTGCGTGTGTGCGACTGTGCGTCAAAAGATATATTAAAAATGCGATAAAATTTGTTTTATTCAATGTCAGTGTAACTTCTGTTCGATGATAAAGTGACATGTTAAAATCACACATTTAGGAAAATAGCCGTAAACTTGTATTTAACAGATATAACTATTTCATTTAAAATTTGTTAAAATTCTTAAATAAATATTATATGTCGGAAAATATAATATTAAAAACATAAAATCGCATATAAGAAAATCGCGTATAAAAATTACTGTAATTTTAAAGTTAAAATAAAATATTCTATGAATAATTTAATTAATAAGTTATACTCGCTGAAAAATATAACAACACTGAGAGAAAGGATTTTGTTAATTTAGCAAGCCACCAACCAGTGATCGGTAAATATGTAACAACAAAAATTATATTGTGATTGCTGCTAGTCTGCTATACCAACCAATTATTAGTAACAGAAACAAACTATATAGAATCTAACCTATCTTTTGGATAGACTTTAGCTCATTACATAGAATTCGTAGATGATCGTGGAGTCTTAAGTTGTAGGAAACCGACCAAGCACAGGCAAATATAGGGAGAATACTTGACTAGAATTAATCAATTTCTTACGATTTGAGACCTTGCAACCGTCTACGACTTTTATATATATATATGAGCCTCTTATTTGCTAGCGATACTATTGATTATTTGTTACATTGACGAATTAATTTGCAATCGTAACAAATCGATTGTTTTTTTAAAACAAATATCACATTTGCTTTCCCTTGATTTGTTCCTATAACAAAATCTTTTCTCTCAGTGAAATTATTTGTGAAAGACTTTATCTTTAAAGATGTTACGTCTATTGGATTCTGAAGCAGATAAGTCAAACATCTTGGCGAAGGCGAATGGACAGTACGAAATACTGGATTGAAAACTGCCGGAAGTTACGAAATTCACTCAAACGAAGATAACAGCAGATATTGGATCAACGTTACAAGATTTAGCCCGGCACTTCGTAGAATTCGGAATAATGCCTCGGGAGATCTGTCGCGATAAAAACTGAACGAGAAGAAAGTTATTTCTCCTCTTATCATTCGTAATTTATCGTCGAAAATATACACAATATTACTATTCATTCAATTCCTACGCTTCTCTTTTTATCTTTCGGAAAAAGTCTGCTTTCTTCGTCAATGTATAAAAATGTGTCAAGTTAAAATTTCAGGAATAATTTCAACAATAAATAATATAAAGCGTAAATATATGGGGTCACCAAATCGGACGGCCTTCGTCATCGATCCTTTCGATTTTTTTCTGATTTTTTTAATATAGCCATTTTTTAAATGTATTTTCCACAATTATCAATCAATTTGTAAGAACTATTTTGGGCGTCTAAAATATACTATTTTTCTGATGGTGCTTCTGAACAATTCAAAAATTTTAAGAACTTTGCAAATATCTATTATCATGAAGATTTTGGAATGCCGGCTGAATGACATTTTTTGCCACGGCACATGGCAAAGGTCCATGTGACGGAATAGGTGGTATGGTAAAAAGAATGACTACTCGTGCAAGTCTTCAACGCCCATCTGATTGCCAGATAACTACTCTACATGAACTGTTCGAGTGGATGTCAGATTCAATAAATTTACCAAATATTATAGTAAAGTTCTCATTAACAGAAGAATATAACATAGCAAAACAATATATTACGTCTCGATTTGAAAGAGCAAAGCCTGTATCTAAAACTCAAAAAGTATTATATCTAAAAGAATGGTACGTTTCTTGTTAAAAAATTTTCAAACTCTTCAGATTATAAAAAAACGTACAAGGGTAAAAAAAACTGAAAAATAAAAATAATCTAATATTTATTCATAAATTTTTGGACATATTCTAAAAGACGTTATTTTATTCAGATAATATTCCTATAAATTCTTATTCCCTAAATAATTGTGAAATCAAAAATATATTCTTTAGTATCGTTATGAAATAATATGATGTAACTCATCAACAAATTAAAAATCTATTAACATTAAATAATAGATTTAATATTATCAGAAATTAAAAAACATGAAATGGAAATTTTGACCATAGTCAAATATGGCTTGAAGTGTTTGTATTTTTACTAAGAATATTGGAGCATTTTTTTATAAAAATTAAAAATGTCGATCTTGACAAAAATCGATTTTGTTTATTTCAATCAAATTTTTCAAATAGAAATAAAAACTTGAAGTTATTTTCATATTTCCTTCCTAACTTGTAAGTACAAGACAGGTTGATCGGCATTTAGCCTGCGCGCGGGTTGAAGTAAGGGGCAAGAACCAAGCTGAAAATCGGCCGAAATGTATGCAACTAAATCCCAGCTCTTATTTAAACAGAATTGATGCAATTTTTTCTTTTTCAATAATTTAAACAGAAGTTATGTTCAACTAAACGTTTGCTAAATAAAATAAATTAAAAATATTAAAAAATTCATATCTAGGAAACGGAGATAAACATCTTAAAAAATAACTGAATATATATTTTAATCTGAGGCATATATTAGGTGTACAACTTTGCTTCCGCCGTTTTTTTTCCGAAATTCGAAGCTTTATTGTAAAAAATTGGTTATACATTTATGATTCAAAGTATTGTCCATCGCTGGCCACTACTTTCT